TTATATGTGGGTGGGTGCATCTTGGGAAAATCTGGAATTTAGACTGTGAAGTAAGGGGAAATAATTTATAAAGGCTTTGAACATTGAGTATATATTCTATATGAAAAATTTCAGTGAAACTGCCATTGTTAATAATAAAAGTAGTTGAAGTAAAAAACCAAAACTCTCCAAAAGTGATGTTAAGTATCTTACAGGTATGATATTACATCAATAACAGCAAGATACACATTATTGCACAGTGGTTTCAATTAATGTGTAGATGCTCAAAAACTTCTGCTGAGAAGAAGTAACCAAACTGAAAGGTTGAAATGCAAGTCTGACCAAAAATGTGTTAATTACAGGTAAATCCAAGTTTATATAGTTCAGCAACAATTAGTGACATTTTGACAGCAGAGAGGAAAACAGTATCACAATAAACTACTGTAAAGCATAGTGAGGGGTCATTACAAATTTGGGATTATATTCCAGCTAACAGTATCATTGATGAACACAAAACTGATGGCACCTTGACTGCTGACATAAACATTGAAATTTGAATCATCATGCCATTCCCTCAGGAACATGATCCCTAGGGTATGGATTCATTTTCTAGAAAGAAAGTAATCCTAAGCATATAGCAGATGTGGTGAAATTATATTTTTATTTATCATATGTTAAATAATATATCAATGAAATTAAGCTTTTAAAAATATTTGTGGGTTATAATTTTAATGTATAAAAAAGATGGTTGTATATCATAAACTGTATATGATTATTGTGCAATATTGAAAATTTAAAAAATATGCAGTCAAGTGTACGATTTTGCTTTTTATTCACAATTTGTTTTTTATTTATATCTGTAGGTATGTCAGAAGGTGTTTGTTCTGTTATTGAAAATCAAGAATTTCATTTAGAAGAATCTTTAGGTGAGTAATTCATTATATTATGAAAATATTGGACTCACTATCTTTCTTAATATAACAGTTAATAAGGCAAAGATGCTGATGAATTTTGAATAAAATTTATTATTCTCTCATGTAAATCATCACGCATCATCTCTTAACCAATAGTAACATGATATGCTCACGTGACACATGTGACTCCCTCTACACTCCTCTACCGAACCTTCACTTCAAAGTTTGGCAGAAAGTGTGAGCACCAGAAAAGTGGAAAGGAAGGGTGAGAAGTGTGAGAAGAGATAAGTACCTATCGTTACGAGGGAATGAAAGAGGTACACCCGAAGGATACACCTTACAAGGAGAGATATAGATCCGAAGATCAGAAGAGGGGAACTGTACCACTTCTGAACCAGGTATACTCTTCGCCCATGTGTAAGACATAAGAGCAGAAATTGAGAGGTGTAGAGAGGCTAGGGCACAGCAAACCATACTCGGTAAGTCAACTACATCCAAAACCTCCTCACTGGGTACCAACATCCATGTGAGGGTAGGATGAGGATCATATGGTCTTCAGCTCAAACCCATGAAGAAAACATTGATAAAGGATTACTGATTAACTTATCCAGTGCTGGCTACTCTGCTTCTCTGTACTGTTATGCCACATGATTGTTTCAAACCATTGCTTAAGTTTTGACACTTTAGCAATAATGAATGTGGCTTAGCAGCAGCATATGTGTTAACCTATGTAATAACAGACCATAGGATGGCTAAGAATTAGTTGATTGAACATAAAAAGTTGTTACCAAAAATTATGAACAATCTACTGTATTATCCTTTTTTAGTTTAGATACCCATATTAGACCATTAATGATTGCCATTTTAAAATCATTTTCAATTTTATTGTGGTGTCTTACCATACCTATTAATCTCAAATAGATCAAGCATCAGCATAGCTTTATAACCTATAAAATTAGCAAATTTCATCTAAGGGTTTTTATTTTACTGAAGATATGCCATAACTAGTGATCATCATGTTATTTCCAACATGGGGAGCAGAAGGCTTGTGACATGTGTAAGGAAAAAGTTTTCATATAAAAAGTATGACTGAATGAGAATAGCTAATCTTATGAGTGGAGGCAAGTACCTATAGGAAATACATTTTCAATATAGGAAAATTATAACTTTCAGTGTCTATCCAATTAGAAGCACAAACTATAGATATTGATAGGACAGAATATCAAATGTGAATATCCTATCTTCTCAAATTGCTGAGGAATGAATAAAATTGTTGCATCGATCAGTGAAGCTCCTCCCATCTTATTATAGTTTTGAATGAATTTATCTATATCAAATGTCCTTAGTTGATGGGTATGTTTTTATCCAACATAAAGAGTGATTTTCTAGCTAGTAGAATCTTATTACACTTATTTCTTTTTTTGGTGGGAAAATCTAAACAATTTGCCTTAGTTGAATCATGTGCGATTATAATTGTTCATCTCCAAGCTGCTAACGGAACTTGTTAACTTGTTTATAACTCAGTTAGAAAGCCAGTTAAATTATAGTAATTTTGGGACATTCTGTTCTAGTGCTATATATTTATTTTGTGTTCTAAGATGCATATTTGAAAACTACATGAATTTTTATTTAAAGAAGAAACTCAGTAGAAAAGTGTAGCCTAGTGTAGTTACCATTTGTACTGGCAAAGATCACATGGGTCACGTGTTTTGCTTGTGGTCCTTTATGGTACGTGCTAATGATCTACCAGTGACATTTATTGCTGTTTGATGGGAGGATTACTGTTCAAGCAGGTACAAACTACAGCATTAAAACCATAAATCTTAAGAAAGCAGATCTAGAAGAGTTAACAGTTGAGACTTTGACAGTAAGAAAACTATTAATCCAGTGATATGATCAACTCAAAAAAGAAGAAAAAAAATTGTTGATTTTATTTCCAATTTTCATTTCACTATGCATTGCTGATTTTGTCATAGTTAGTATTATGGTAGAGAAAATAACAGATAAAATATAAAGTTTTACTGAAAATAAATTGATATTCATTTAGGAGGTTCTAGATGTTATACAAATGAAACATGAAAACTGTAAGATGAAAAAGTTATTTTTATTCATAATATGAAAATCACCTTGCATTCAGACTAGTCAGAATGCGAGTCAGTAAATTCACAGACAAATTGTCAGTAAATATACCTTATTAATGTATTAGATTTTTTAAGCATAAAAGTCTTCTAATGTTTACTATAAGCTTGCCAAATTTCATGAAGATATATATATAGTAAATTCAGAACTGTAGTAAACATTGTTATGTATAACTGGGGTTGGTCAAATGGACCAATCCCAATGACATAAGAGCTAGAATGAGTTTAGAGCATCACAATGTTTTTATTGTCCATGTCTGGTCATGCACTTTTTGATGACTGCACATCTTGACAACAGCTTTGTAGAATTGTTTCCTTTCTAAAGCTGTCATGACCAATATACATCACTCCTCCCTGCAAGCTTTCCATGACCTACATATTGTACAAGGATGATAGTTTCTCTGCACCCATTTCAACTGTCTGATCACATAGACATCTGTACTCACTGCGTCGAGCAACTTGACTGGTATGTCTTCATATGTAATGGCATGAATATGTGTTTAATTCTCCAGCTGCTTGAGGTATGGAATGGTTAAATGGAAGGCATGACTGGATGACTTTTCTTGGTGAGGCCATACTCTTTTTGGCCTCATTTCCAAGGGAAATCCATCTTGATTATGTTGTATTCTATAACCTGGGGCAATTGGACAGCTTTTACCACTGACCTTTGTGGATTCTTACCTGTTTCAAGAAATGGCATTTTGCTTACCTAGGCTTGCGTACAACTTGTTGTGGATATCTTTCTAGATAATCCTGATGCCCAAGTTGCTCCATATTCCTTTGTTTTCCAGTGTCATTAAGTACAAAGGGTATGCCAGTCAGAGAAGTTCTAAATCCCCAATCTGAATATATCTTTTTGATATGTTACATTCCCTTTTTCAAAGCAGTCAGTTTTTGATGGCATAATACTATCTACAAAATGCAAAGAATGTCAAATTGTAGTTATGATACAAGCTGTTCCACTGTGACTTTATATCTACTGTAGTTGTCATATGATTTGCTGATTTGCATCTTCAAAATATAATGTACCCAACTTTGTATAATCAATTAAAAATGTTAAGGAAATATTTGGGCTTTTAAACAATACAAGTGCGAGTTATCATTATGAAGGAAAAGCAGCTGGTAAAAAGTGAAATTTGTTTAAGGAAGAAAATTAAGACCCTCCAAATTGTAGTAGTTTATATTTAATTTCAATTATCAAAATTATGTGTACATATAAGACTTGTGGTTTTAGTTTAAGTTATCATTTCTATATTCAAGTATATTTATCACTCTGTGTTTTTGGAATTTGTTCTTCTGTCACATTCATCAACCCTTATTAATCGATGGTAGTATCCTCCTGGGTTTTTTTCCATTGGTGTTCTTAGCTCGCAACCGTGGGGATGTTTTGTAATCAGTTCTTTAGACTTTATTGAGTGCTGTTATCTGTGTTGTCAACTGCTGGCCACTAGTGTTGTTTCTGTTTGTGAACAGATTCCCCACTATAATTATAGAATGTCTCCATTGATAGTTGACATTCTGTTTTGTTTTTGATTTCATTTTCTTATGTTTTTTAGATGCAATGTCAGCCTGAGGTTGAGAAAACTTTCATAAATTTACATAATATAGTGTAGATTGTTCCCCTTTGTATTGTGTGA